AGCAGTCAGGCATCATTTTGTGTGTGTGTTTACTTTAGTGACTTGCGATGTACAGTCTCTATATACCATCATCCCTCACGACAAAGGCTGTTCAGCAGTTGAAAAATGTTTGAAAGACGAAAATAACATGCCAGATCAACAAATAGATTTTATCATTCAAGGTATTAATATTATTTTAAAATATAACTATTTTTGTTTTTTAGACTCCTTTTACTTACAAAAACAAGGCACAGCTATGGGTACCAGGTATGCCAACCTTTTTATGGCAGATTGGGAATCCACTGCCATATTCGGAAGGCATGGCTGGCAGGCAAACCTGGTAAAATATTTTAGGTATATTGATGATTTATTTTTTATTTGGGACGGCCCAGAGGACCTTTTAAAACAGTTTTTACAATACTTAAATTCTAATGATAAAGGTATCATTTTAACTTGGGATTACAGCCAATCTTCCATTCATTTTTTAGACTTGGAAATCTTTATTAATAACGGTCAAATTCATACAAAAAGTTTTTTTTTAAAAGTATGTACCAATAATGTTATTGATGTAACTAGTTGCCATCATAAACCTTGGATCCAAGAAATACCCAAGAGCCAATTTCTCCGTCTACGTAGAAACTGTTCCCTCACTCAAGATTTGAGGTACAGTCTCAATTACTATCCGATAAATTTCTTCAAGAAAAATTACCCGAAAAACAATCTAGACCAGACGTTAAAAAATATCAGTCAAACCAACAGATCCGAATTATTAGAGTACAAAAACCATAAAGAAACCAAAACTGCCCCTACATTGCCAATTATATTCGACTTCAATAACAAAAGTAATGTTATGAAGACGATAATAAAAAAACATTGGCATATATTAAAACAGGATGAGACTTTGGCCGGAATTGTCCCTGAGAAACCACAAGTTATATTTAGAGGGGCACCCAGCTTCAAGTCTATCCTCACAAGTAATTACACTAAACAAAAATATATTCCCCCAACTCTCAATCCTTTCACCTTTTTAACTAAACCCTGTGGATTCTTTAAATGCAATAGATGTTTAGTATGTAAACGCACCAGTGACACTATAAAATCTAAAACATCGTTTTTATCCACACAGAAAACATACCAAATAAAAAATTTTATTCATTGCAATACAAAAAATGTAATTTATCTTTTAGAATGTCCTTGTGGGCTCCAATATGTCGGGATGACTACTAGAGATTTAAAAACCAGACTGGCTGAACATTGCAGAAATATCTTAAAAGGTTATGAAAATCATTCCGTTTCAAAACATTTTTTACAACACGGAAAAAATCCAAAACTCGGCATCGGCATAGATATCTGCAATGTTCCTTGGAGAGGTGGAGACATTAAGAAAGTTTTAGGCAAAAAAGAAATGGAATGGGCATATAATCTGAAAACTCTCGCTCCCACTGGCCTTAACATTGATTTTGATCTTTTTAATTTTTTATAATATTGCTGCATTTTTATAGTTAAGGATACCCCTTTAAGTTTTTGTTTTTACTCTCCTTTTCCCTTTTTTTTAACTAAATGATTTATTATATTGAAAAGTGTGTATATATATATATATATATATATATATATATATATATATATATATATTATTTATTATAATCTTATTTTATATTCTATTACATTATAAACATATGTTAATTTTATATTTTATTTTTATAAGCACATATGTTCCTATAATTATGGTTAATTTTATCTATTTTCTATTTTTTCTTTTGCACAAAAAATATGAAAAACTAGCTGTTTAGCGTTTTTATAATTTAATATGCCTGTGTAAATATTTATGCTTTTTACAGTCATACTGTCCTTCACTGGGTTCGAACTCATGTGGGGCTGGCTGTCTGTCTGCAGGAAGACGGCGAGCTCATATGCTGGAGCCACGGCCGTCTGCCTGCTCTTTGATACAAACGGCCCCACCGTTATATGCTTTAATGACACATGCGTTCCACCGGAACGGAATGCATGCGTTCCACAGAGCATCACGTGACGCGGAAATACTCCTTATCGCGAGTCACGTGATCGCTCTTTTTTTTTATTTAAAAAGTAAATTATAACCCTCGTTTTAATATTTAAATAATACAAATATGCTTTTTATCACTGTATTGTTAATTTTATGTATGTAATAACTGTTTTATAATAATTTCCCTGTATTATCTATATGCTAATTTTATTACGTCATTTTGGCGGGAATTTTAAATTTAAAGTATTACTACACACTATATAAGCTTATGTATGTCAGGTATGCCCCCCCTTTCCTATTATCTACTTGAAGAAGCCTGCTAAGGCGAAACGCGTTTAGATATTAATAGATTTTGTTCTTAATTTTATAATAAAGATATTTTATTGGCATAAAATACTTTATTGCCATTTGCTTTCTTTTTTTACCTGACTTTACATACTTTTTTTTAAATTTGATTTTACGTATATGGCTCACCCTGCAAGAAGTACAAAGAATCCATAGGTGGGGATTATACCACCCGAGCGCCTTCACTGAGCAGTTTTGAGTATGCTCTAATTTACGTGAGTAGTATACTTCTTTCTTTTATTTTGGATTACATACAGTGAGCACTATATATTTTATTCTATTTTTTCCTCTGGGTCGCATAACGTCAAATTGAACGCTGAACCCACGCCAGATACTCAACTATCAAAATCCACTCCATATATCCTTGAAGTGGGGATCATTCCACTTTATGCGAGCAATATCAGAGCTGATCCTAGCTCTGAAAAGTGTGAGTAAGACTGATTTTATACTTTTATATTTATTTTAAACACCGATTTACTGTGCCATTGGAGTTCTGTTTTATTTTTCTCTCCACATATGCTGAATTTTCAACACTTGAAGATACAACCCCATCTACACCCTAAAGAATATTCTTCTACAAGTGGGACCTACCCTCACAGACTGTGCTAAGCTTATTTTATTGGACTATTGTTTTATTACTTATTTTATTCTGTATTGTATCTGACCTATTTAGTTCTATATTTTATCATTATTTTACATTTAGGCGCATCCTTATATCTCTGTTTGTTTTTGCTATCTGTTACCATTAGGGGATTACTGGGGACTCCCCTTTGAGGAGTGCTGCCTTTCCTAATAATAATTTTATTGTGGCAATTTAGCGCTGATCTTTTATCTCTTTCAAACTACCTCCATACCGTGCTGACATCGATTGGTCACTTCCAGTTCCGGTTTTCGCCAGAAGAGTTTCCCGCATAGTTTTCCCAAGCCAAGTCACAGCTAGGATATTATAATGGCAATCCAGCAAGGCCTCGCCAACCCAGCAGGCACTTGCACTGCAGATCAAAGACACCAGCTACAATCTAATACAGTCGCTCACAGTGCCACTAGGCTTCCAGGGCACCCTCCTGAATTTCCAGTTCAGCGTCCAAGCACCCGGTAACCGTGAGTACACACGAACGCACAAAAGTGAAGGCATACCGAACAGGTTTGCATATGCACTGTGATGAGACCAATCTCGCCACTGTGCATTGGAGGAGCCTGGTTGCCTGCCTGCTGCCTTTAGACTATGGCCCCATGTTGAAACGCTTGATTTTCCCCTGTGAAGACACGAAAGCTGGGTCATTCGGTGCTGGCCCTGTTTGAGCGGTGATACCCCAGATAGCTATGCTATGGAGCCCATTCGTATAATGAGAGACTATGGGAAAGACTTTGGCTCCATGGCAATTGAACTGTATGTGTGTGCTCTAAGCGCCATTCAGTAATAATGTGCGCTCAGATCTGAGCTATCTGGGGATATGTTGAATGTCTGTATTTTATGTCATAAATGTAACCTTGTGTATTTTATTGTATTTTACTGTCTTTTTGCTGCCATGTGTTCAGTGGAGTTTTGCCTCTGTCTTTGGAGATAATTGGATTACTTCTAATTATCTCCAGGATAGAAGACTCTGTGGAACTGGTTTTGGGCAGAAAAGCCATGCTTCCTGTGGTCACAAAGGACTACGATCTATCTTTTGAACCACTGGACCAATTTGTATGATTTTGACGTATGTTTGTGTTTAGAGTATGCTGATTCTGAAAATGTAAGTGAATGTGATGCATACTTTTCAAGTTATGAATAATGTGGAAAAATTGTATTTCTCTGCTTGTGCCTAATTACATTACCCATTGTGTAAGGTAATGGAATCACATGCAGAGGGGAGGAATTTGTGTGGGAGTGTATTGTATGTGTTTATAATGTGTAAGGATGTGTACATAAGCACAATAAACCCACAGCTCTGTCTGTTCACTGCTTGACCCTCAACACGGAGCTTTGTCTCGTTCTTGGGGGGATTTATTGTATGCTGTTCCAGTTTGACTGCTAGGAGTGTAAACCTATTAGTATGGTTTTTCCTATTCGGCTGTTTACAGCATTCATATGGTTTCCTGTTCGGCGGATTGGTGTTCTGCAGTAGCTGTGCCTGCATCTCTGGAAGGGGACGATCGCCTAAACGGTTTTAACCCCTTGTGTGCTGAAACGGTCCATTACACTAGGCAGCCGCCTAGGGCGCCATATAGGAATGGGCGCCCTGCTCCCCCATCGCCGGCCCTTTAAATTCTGCAGCCGCCTGAGCGAACCGTTCGGGACATCACTATTGAACATTAACACAGCTTTCAAGGAGCTTGGAGGCAAAGGGAAGGAGAGAGATATGGTAATAGCATATAGTAGTATGATAGTAATAGAGAAAGTATTAAAGTCAAGAGAAGGTTTTTTAGTATGGGCGCGATCCATTCATGTTTGAAGGATGAGGGGAAAAGAGGAAAGAGTCAAGATTTTTGTTAAAGGACCACTATAGTGCCAGGAAAACATCCTCGTTTTCCTGGCACTATAGTGCCCTGAGGGTGCCCCCACCCTCAGGGACCCCCTCCCGCCCGGCTCTGGGAAGGGGAAAGGGTTAAAAACTTACCTTTTTCCAGCGCTGGGCGGGGAGCTCTCTGCCTCCTCTCCTCCTCCGATCCTCCTCCTGGGCTGAATGCGCACGCGCGGCAAGAGCTGCGCGCGCATTCAGCCCGTCGCATAGGAAAGCATTTACAATGCTTTTCTATGGACGCTTGCGTGCTCTCACTGTGAAAATCACAGTGAGAAGCACGCAAGCGCCTCTAGTGGCTGTCAACGAGACAGCCACTAGAGGATTAGGGGGAAGGCTTAACCCATTAATAAACATAGCAGTTTCTCTGAAACTGCTATGTTTATAAAAAAAATGGGTTAACCCTAGAAGGACCTGGCACCCAGACCACTTCATTAAGCTGAAGTGGTCTGGGTGCCTAGAGTGGTCCTTTAAAGATGGGATAGTCGCAGATGACAGAAACTGAGTAAGGGGAGAGGGAATGGCATCAAGGGGGCACATGGTAGTGGAGGAAGAAAGCATAAGTGTAGTATCGTCAGAAACAAAAGAAAAAAAAAAAAAAACATGGTCAGGCTTAAATAGCTGTATTAGAAAAGTTATCCAAGTCAATTTTGTTGTTCATTTTGATTATTTAGGCTTTCATTTGACATTCACTTCAAATTTCGGGCAATTCTTACTTTAATGAATAACCTGGTGCACATCCCTTTGATAATTTCATATTCAGGGGCTTAACTAGGATGAGCTGGGCCCCAGTGCAAGATTCAAAGAAGGACCCTCTTTTTGCCCCTCCTTGCTCCTCCCTAAGCAACAGACTTAAGTGGGTTATCTACAATCACTGTGTGTGATTGTGCGAGGGTTGGCAGAGTATGATTGTAAGTGGGACTTGGCAGAGTGTGATTGTGGTGGTTAACGGAGTGTGATATTTATATGTGGGGTTGGCTGAGAGTGATTGTGTGTATATGTGGGACTGGCTGAATGTGAGTTCGTGTTGCAGTTGGCGGAGTGTGATTGTGTGGGGATTGTGTGTGTAATAATAATAATAATAATAATAATAATAATAATAAATTATAACTACAAAAAAAGACTCAGGTGCACAAAGACCCAGGTAGGTATACATAGGCAGGCACACACAGGAATATACAGGCACACTGACTGTGTCTATACCTGCATCTGTGTGTACCTGACAGGTACACACAGATGCATGTATAGAAACAGACACATCATCAACAGACAGGAATAATAAACAGGTACAGACAAGCCTACAGATTCAGGCACAGACTTACACCCAGAAACACATAGACATACACATTCACAGACAGGCTCACTATAAAAAAATGTTGTTTTTTTTCCTAACTGAAAGCAGTACCAGCAGGAGCCTGCAAGCCTCTCCCTCTATGTCACAGAGTGAGGGTGAGAAAATAGAAATTAGTTTCAATGTGTTAGTGTGTTTGCTTCCGCTCCAGAACACTAGGCAGGGGAGACAAAGTAGGAGAAAGGCTGCATTGGTCTATCAGGAGAAGGGCTGGATAGGGACCCAGCAGGAGAAGGGCTGGGCAGGGGGGTAGAACAGGAGAATGGCTGGGCAGGGGGGCCAAGCAGGAGAGGAACTGGGCAGAGTGGACCCAAGCAGGCGAAGGACTTAGCAGGACAAACTATCAGCTTTTAACAATACTGCCCCCTCTCCCTCCAACTGTCAATAACTTAATCATTCTTTAGTACATTGCTGAATCAGCAATGTACAAAATAACAGTAATAAGTGCTCCCAAGCTCGTAAGTGCACCCCTTTACATGCAGAACTCCAGAGACCTGTCGCAATAGTAACAGTTGCGACCCTGGTAGTTCCGCCACTGTAGAAGATGCATCAGAAGAGGTTCGACAGGGCAGCCTGGCTCCCTGAAGTGATGGGCCCAGTTGCAGCTATGACCCTGTGACAATGGTTGTTCCGCAATTGTTGCCATTCTTTGTGTCAAAGTAGGAGTGTATGTTTATGTAATGTTAATGTTTGCAAATACTACCGTATAATTTGTGTAGTGCCACAGAGTATAAAAAGCAGACATTTACTATCTGTAGTGTAAATGCATTGTTCCATGAGTGAGTAGAGTAGATAATTGCAAAAGCAGTAGTGAATATGTATGAAATGTTGATGTGTGAATGTAAGGGTGTATTCATGTTTAATTTGTATGCAAGGGTGTATTTTAGTTAAGGACTTGTGTGTATAAACACAGGGGAGTGTTGGTGTATGTATTAGTGTGGAAAGCCTGTGCATGAATGCAGAGATAGATTTGTATGGATTGTACACATGTGCAATTCATTTCATTCCGAATGTACATAAAAGTCGGACATTCGTATGCTTACTAATGTCCGAAGTTCGAATTTTTGAATTTCCGAAGTGTCGAACCGAACCAAATTGCCAAAGTTCCGAAGTTCCATAGTGCTTTGGATTTCTGAAAAGTGTCAAAACAAGTGGTTAGGGTCAGGGTTTAGGGTTAGGGTCCGAATTACCGAACTTCCGAACTGAATGCCATTGGTCCGAATTGCTGAAGCAGACAATTGAAGATTATGCTAGCTTTAGTGTACAGATAATCTTAATTTTAATAATGACAGGAGGCGAGTATTTTGCATAATCTTTCTTTACTATCTCCATAGCAGCAAAGAAAAGAGTGACAAAACTTTTAACCAATCACAACGTAGAATAGGGTATAAGAGGTGAGACCTATGACATCATTTCCTCTTTAAGATTGCGATATCACAAGTTCATAAATGTAGAAAAATAACAGAACAGTAGAGAAGTCCATAGAACAAGAAAACTGGAAAACTTAGTCAGAATAAATTGAACCGGAACAGGTAGAATGTAGATGAAGGCGTCTCCTTGTCAAACGATGGTCCACCAAGACCTGATGATGAATCTCCTGATGTGATGATGACGACATCTTGCATGGAGACTTCAATGATTCCGTGTAGCTTCTGGTTAAGCTGAAACGAGAGTATAAGGTGCGTTAGAGTCCAGAAGTGATTGTATAAAACAAAGGATGTCTGTCCCGTAATTCAACTTTAATATCGTCTAGTAACATGACAATAATAATAGTAAACTAAACGTCCTCTCTAGGAGGTGTTAAAAAAATATCCCACCCAGACTAATTATATATATATATATATATATATATATATATATATATATATATATATATATATATATATATATATATATATATATAAATAATGTAAATAGGGCATTTAAACAAGAGCTACTGCGTCAGGTATTACACCAACATATGAGAGAGCAAAGTGTAGTAGGAAGAAGTGAAAGTAAAAGGGAGGGAAGAACGAAAGAGAACAGGGAGGGAAAATACTTGCCTCCTGTCATTATTAAAATTAAGATTATCTGTACACTAAAGCTAGCATAATCTTCAATTTTATCACATGACAGGAGGCTTCGTATTTTGCAATTTCAACGCTGAGAAAGAAAAGCAAATGCCGGATTATCAAGAGGACGAAAGTAGAATGTCCTAAAGGTAGATTCTCTGGTCCAGTCCGCTGCTCGTAAAATGTCCGAGAGGGACGCGCCTGCCGCATAAGCGGAAGAGGCCGCTGCCCCACGAACGGAGTGTGCTCCAAAAGTTTGGTCAATACCGGCAAGGGATAGTAGCCATCTAACCCATCTGGCCAGAGTAGTAACCGAAACCGGACCATAAGGGCGGACGTAAGAGATGAGAAGTTGATGAGTGGAAGGCTGCCGCAACGTCGCGGTGGCTTCCACGTAGTGACGGAGGGTTGAGACCACGCAGAGTTGAGGGTCAGAAGGGAAGAAAGGGTAGAAGACCGAGTGAGAGTTGGACTTAGTGCGACGTGAGATCCGAAAGGTGACACCCGCCGGACAGAAAGTAAATGCGTTGGCGTCAAAGGCGCGTACATCCGCTACCCGTCGAAAGGAAACCAGACAGAGCAGGAGGGTGAATTTTGCGGTAAGCTGGCAGAGTGATAGTTTCTCGTTGGGAGGCCAATTACGTAAAAATTGAAGGACCACACCAACGTCCCAGAGACTAGAATATTTAGGTTCCGGGGGGCGCCGTAGGCGCATGCCGCGGAGAAGTCTGCAGATGAGCGGGTCCTTACCAACCGGAATCCCCTGTATCAGAGTATGAGCCGCTGAGATGGCTGACCGTACCAGGTTGATGGAACGGTATGACTTTCCGGCGGTGAAAAGTGAAGTCAGGAAATTCATGATGGAGTGAGTAGGTGCAGTAAAGGGATTGAGGTCCCGTCCCACACACCAACTTGTCCAGGAGTGCCATGCTGATAAGTAGCACCTCCTAGTTCCTGGTGCCCATGAATCCCATAGCAGGTCCTTAGTTTCCTGCGATAATTCTTCGGTTCTCCAGGAACCCCGGAAAGAGTCCAGGCCACAAGGGGCAAGCGTTCCTGCAGGACTAGTGGGTGAGGTAGGCCCAATGGATTCCTGAGGATGGTTGGGGCATCTGGTAGGAGGAGGGGATCGTTGATTGAGAGTTCCAGAAGGTCCGGAAACCATGGCTGGCTCTGCCAGAGCGGCGTGATGAGAATTATTCTCACTCCCTGTAGACGGATCCGGTGAAGGACCCTCATTATCATTGCGAAAGGAGGGAATGCGTAGGCGCCGTCCCTTGGCCATTGTTGGAGAAAAGCGTCCGTTGCGAGGCTCTCCGGGTCTGGGAGCCAGCTGAAGAAAACCTCTGTCTGTCGATTGTTGCGGGACGCGAAAAGGTCTATGTAGAGAGGTCCCCTCTGTGCATCCAGTAGCGCGAAAATATGAGGGTCCAGCTGCCAATCGCTGGCGTCCCGCCAGTGGCGTGAGTACCAATCCGCCGTCGTATTGGAGTCTCCTGGTAAGTGCTCTGCCAGCAAGGTGATGTTGCGTGGTAGGCAATAGTCGAAGATCTCTTTCGTGAGATCCGCCAGTGTTCGAGAACGAGTGCCTCCAAGGCGGTTGATGTATCTGACCGCTGAGACGTTGTCCATGCGGAGTAGGATGCAGCAGTTGGATCGGTCCTTTGCCAGGCTGCGAATGGCGAAGGACCCGGCCAAGAGTTCCAGGCAATTTATGTGCATCGAGAGCTCTTCGGAAGTCCAGACTCCTCCTGTGGACGTGGTTCCGTCTGTTGCCCCCCAGCCTGAACGGCTGGCATCCGATTCCAGCACGAAGTCTGGCTGGTTCCCGAATATGGCCCTGCCATTCCAAGCCTGCATGCAATTCAGCCACCAGTGTAGTTCTTCCCGAACTTCGACCGACATTGGAACCGGTTGGTCGTATGTCGGTTGTCTGCGAAGGAAACTTGCCTTGAGGCGTTGCATGGCCCTGTAGT